TTTATCAGTTGATCTCGTTTTGATATCTTTTACAGAAAATGAGATATATGAGCTCAAAGTATTAGGGTGTTCACAGTAGTATTTTTGTTGGCAGAATTCTATTGTGGCTTCGTTGTTGTCCTTATAACATCTCATTATTTAGATGACACCGAGAACAATGAGCAATCCTTGCTCATTTTACCAATTAACACTGTCTTCTCCATCTTCCCCATATGCATTACCTCCTTCTCATCTTTTCCCTCAAACCACCTCCCTCTTTGGGTCTCATAACTTCGACCCAAATTATCTCGGCTCCTGGGAAAGATTCTAAAAAGTTGTCAACTAACAAAATATTGTTGATATTATGATATATATTTTATCAGTTGACACCATTTTGATATCTCTCCAGGAACATGAAATAATCGATTTTCTATGCATCGAAAACATTTTTTAAAAATCTTAATTTTTTCTGGTTTTTGAAGTTTTTAATAACTTAAAAATCTCAGAACTTTAGGATTTTCTAAATTTCAGAATTTACAAACTTTCTCGAATTCAGACGACATGATTTGTTGCGCATTTACAATTTTTCGATTTTCGAAATTTTTTTAAAATTTTATGAAATTTTCATAATCTGGGAGTTTTTTACGTTTTTTTTTTAAATTTTGCACACATCGACTTTTGGGAACATCTGAACTTCCAATGTATCGAAAATCTTCAGTTTTTTTGACTCTCGCTTTTCTAGAATTCATTATTTTCAATTTGTAAGAGTTTTCAAAAATCCAATCAATTCAAATTTCAGATTTTTGTAGATTTCGGATTTTCAGAATTTTCAAACTTTTGAATATTTAAGTATCTCTGAGATTCTGGAATTTCCGAAAATTTCGAAGCTTTTAAGTTTTTTTTTCAATTTTTTAAGATTAGAATTTCTGAAAACTTTGAAACATTTTAAAAATATGAAATCCTAAATTTGCCGATTTATACAAAATCTAAATTTTCAAGTTCCTTGTGGATTCTCGAACTTTCTGAAATTCCCAGAAAAATTCTGAAAATTTCAATTTCCCAAAACTGTCTTTAAAAACCCAACCTCAAATCTTCTCGAACAATTTGGAGCACTTTGTGCTCCTTCTCTCCACGCGTTCATTCAATTACACTTCTAAACCCTTTCATCCCGAAATTTTGGTCTCTGCGTCCCTCCGCGCAATTTATCTCTCATTCTCTGCCATTTCCTCTTCTCCATCCTTCATTAATAGTGCCCCCTTCGTTTTACTCCCGGGTGTCCCGGTCAAAAGGGACCCTTCACTCATACACTGTCTGCGCCTCTCTCTCTCTCTCTCTCTCTCTCTCTCTCTCTCTCTCTCTTTTCTTACTGAGAAAGTGAAAGAGAGGTTGAGGGAATATATAAAAACGGAACATCATGCTTCTGTCTATATTCCGAAGGGGGGAGGACAAGCCATAAAAGAGAGGGGTATATGGACCAGTTGGTGCTCCTGGGTGCTCCGTAGAGAAAGAGCTCAGTTTTTGGGAAAATTGGCTCCACACGGCTCCTTCTCCAGCAGCTGCTGGTCATTTCTTCCCGTTTCTTGTTTTTCCGACGCGGTCACGTCTTCTTCTTTTTCGTTTTCTGGAGAGACCTTAATTTCGACATTTTTGTGCAAAAAAAAATTCAGAAATTCAGAAATTCAGAAATTCAGAAATTCAGAAATTCAGAAATTCAGAAATTCAGAAATTCAGAAATTCAGAAATTCAGAAATTCAGAAATTCAGAAATTCAGAAATTCAGAAATTCAGAAATTCAGAAATTCAGAAATTCAGAAATTCAGAAATTCAGAAATTCAGAAATTCAGAAATTCAGAAATTCAGAAATTCAGAAATTCAGAAATTAAATGCAAATATAATGTAAAATTTAAAAAAAAAGAAACTGAAATTTTGAAAAATCGAAAATCCAGTTCCAAAGTTTCAAATTGTTGAAATTCTGCAAAATCTAGGAAACCAGAAGAAAAATTCCGAAAAATTCGAAAAACCAAAAAAATCATTTTCCCGAATTTCGAAACTATTAGGTTGGCGGGAAAGTCTTTGTCACTCTGTTTGTTTAATCACTGTTCTCGTATATGGAGGCTGTGTATGATATCGACTCTAGTGAATAACAAGGTGATAAGAACCTTCCATATAAACAAGTCCCCATTTCCTTCCCTGCTCCTCATCTGTAATTGAAACGATATGTTTGTTCCCACTGCTATTCACATCAGACATGTTTTGATTTACCTCTTCCTATCTCACACCACGATGAAGGATTCGGAAACTTTCTTGAAGAATGTGTACAACACACATGCCCCTCACTACAATACTATTCGCAATTGGTTCCATCGTTTCGAAAAAGATGACTTCTCGCTCGATGAAAAGGATCGCTCTGGGAGACCCCGTGAGTT